CACCTGCAAAATCTTAATCTACGAACCTAACAAGATCAAGCACAGTATTGTTCTTACAGTACTTTAAACCAACATTTAATGAGCTGTTAATGTATCTTAGAACCCATTTCAAGGCAGTCCAATGTTTACTGCCAGGGTTGGACATGAATCTACTAAGAAGTGATATAGCAAAAGATAGATCAAGTCTAGTGCTTATCATTGCATACATTATGGAGCCAATCACATTTGAGTATGGGATATCATTCATCTTTATCATCTCAGCTTCAGTTTCAGGACACTGTTCTTTACTAAGCATGAAGTGATTTGCCAAGGGCATTGTGACAAGTTTTGAGTCAGTCATACCAAATTTATTTATTAATTTCTGCAAATAAGCACCCTAATCTAGTTTTAAGCAGTTATTCCTCCTATCTCTAGAAATCATCATCCCTAATATTTTCTTGGCATTTCCCAAATCTTTCATGTCAAGTTCTGAATTTAATTTCTTTTTCAGATCTTGTATCCTAGGCTTGGATCTACTGATTAATAGCATATCATAAACATACAGCAAAAGATAAATGGGCAGATTTTTATCTAGATCAAAGTAGAAGCAACTGTCATACTTGCTTCTCCTAAATCCCAGGCCTATTATAAAGATGTCAAACTTTTTGTACCACTGTCTGGGGGCCTATTAGAGGCCATATAGGGACTTATGAAGCAAGCATACATGGTCAGGAGCCCTAACATCAATGAATCCTATAGGCTGACTCATATAAATTTTCTCATCTAAATTTCCATGCAGAAAAGTAGTAGTTATATCTAGTTGTTCTAATTCTAGATTTTGGTGTGCAGCAATGGATAACATTAATCTGATGGTTTTGTATTTTACCACTGGGCAAAAGACTTCATTGAAGTCTATTCCCTCTCTTTGGGTGTAGCCTTTGGCAACTAGCCTGGCTTTATACCTATGTGGGTCAGAAATTGAAATACAATCCTTAAGTTTATAGAGCCACTTACATTGGATCAGCTTCTGATCTTTGGGTTTAAGTATCAAAGTGCAAGTTTTGTTTACCTCTAGTGAGTGCATCTCTGCCCTAATTGTTGCTTCCTACTTTTCTTTATCTTTGGATTTCATAGCCTCCTCATATGTTCCAAGTTCTGACCTCTGGACTTCTGTACCTGTAAGCAAAGCAGAAAAAATCAGTTCAGCATAAGAATAATGCGCAGGTGGCCTTACCTCTCTCCTGATCCTATCTCTAGCTAGTTGGTACTGTTGAAGGTCAGCTGGTTGATGTTCTAAGATCTCATCGATGGTTCCTTCTTCTGGTTGTTCAGGTTTAGTGTTAGCTTCTGTTTGGGTTTCAGTTTCAGTTTGGGTGGAGTTAGGCTGATGTGTAAGTTGCTCCACGTCAATTGGTGTACTTTCTGTAGGGTTAGGGTTAGGTTCAGTGTTTTTTATGCTTCCCTGATCAATGGCAAATCCTTTGCAAAGGAATTCACACTCATTGAACACTACATCTCGGCTTACAATAATCTTCACCCCTGGGGTCTCCCTATCCCATAGTCTATATCTTTTTGTGCCTTCTTGGTAACCTAGAAATATGCACTTAGTAGACCTAGGTTCAAGTTTTCCTCTTACAGTCTGTGCATAAGCAGCACAAGTAAAAATTCTCAAATGGCTTAAGTCTGGTCTTCTTCCAGACCAGATTTCTTCAGGACACTTTCCATTGATGGCAGTAAATGGACTCCTATTCACAAGGTAGGCAGTGGTGGCTAGGGCTTCCCCCCAAAAAGTGTTTGGTAACCTTGAAGTAAACAAGAGACATCTAACCTTTTCTAGTAAGGTACGGTTCATCCTTTCTGCCACTCCATTCTATTGGGGGGTCCTAGCTACTGTTCTATGTCTCAAAATGCCATGTTCTTTACAGAAGTTATCAAACTCAGAATTGCAGAATTCAAGTCCATTGTCAGTGCGAAGTGCCTTTACTTTCCTTCCTAATTGGTTTTCTACTAGTGTTTTCCAATCCCTAAACTTGGTCAAAGCCTGGTCTTTGGTCTTTAGGAGAAATTTCCAGACCTTTCTACTGTGGTTATCTACAATGGATAAGAAATAGCTGTTCCCACCTTGGGATTTAATTTTTTCAAGTCCCCAAAGGTCAGAGTGTAAGTACTCTAGGCAGTTTGTGGCTAGATGAGTCCCCTTTGAAAAACTTATTATGTGTTGTTTTCCTAACACACAGTTTTCACAAAATTCTAGGTTGCTAATGGTGTCCTTCCCAAACACTCCCTGACTACTAAGGATGTGCATACACTTCTGACTCATGTGTCCTAACCTAAGGTGTCATTTTTTAGTTACTGTTTGTTTGGTGGGAGACATCACAGTGCTAAAACATTCTGGGTGAGAATCCCCACATATATAAACCATTTCTCTTTTCCCCTTTAAGAACCAAGTTCTGGTTTTTGTACACATATAAGCAACCATTGTTAGCATTATAGGAACATCCAGCCTCATCAAGGGTTCCTAAGGAGATAAGATTCCTCTTTAACTCATGGATGTACCTAACATTGGTTAACCTTACAATTTTTCCATTAGTAAGTTTAAGAGTTATACTGCCTATCCCCTTCACTCTACATGCCTGATTATTTCCCATATAAACAATTTCAGTTTCCTGAGATTCTAGATTCTGGAACCATTTCTTGTGTGGGCTCATATGAAAGGAACAGCCTGAGTCCAAGACCCATTCCTTAGCAGTATCAGATGTTGATACTGTCAAGACCTCAGGCTCCTCCCATTGGTTATTACTAAAAGCTAGATTACTCTCAATATTACCCTGTTTATGTTTCTTCAACCATTCAAAGCAGTTTTTCTTGATATGACCAGGTTTATTGCAAAAGAAGCACTTCTTAGTGTCTGATTTTGTTTTATTATTCCCCTTCCATTTTTTCTTGTTTTTAGACCCATGTTGGTTCTGATTAGTCTTTCCTGTTTGACTAAATTCTAGCCTACCTTTTACAAACAGGTTATTCCCAGACCTTTTCTGAACCTTAAGTAGCAACTATTAAATCTAGGCTAGGCACTGTCCCTGAATACTAAAAGGCATTCTTTACAACTATATAATCTTCGGTTAAGGAATTTAATAGGATCATTGCTAAACTGGTGTCCCCTAGTTCCTGATTAGTTCCTTTAAGAATTAAAGTCATCTTAAGGAATTCATCTAGATTATCCTCAATTGATTTAGAACCATCCATTTAGTACGAAAATAAAGCACCCTTTAAAAACACAAGATTAGGTGCTGACTGGAAAAAATAAAAGGTTTCGAGTTTACCCCATAGGGCTAGAGGAGTTTCTAGCCCATCTACCTTTCGTAGGACGTTGTCTAATAGATTCATCACTATGAGGTTGTACGCTTCCTCATTGATTTCACCCTTCTTCTTCAGTTTCTCTTCTGGCCATTTGGTTTTGTCTTTCTCTAGGGCAATTCCCACCTTGTTGTGGGATAGCAGTGCCTTCAACTTCTTTTTCCAACTCCCAAAATCTATCTTTCCATCGTATTGAGTGATTTATAATCGTGTCGTTGACATTTTGTGTTTAAACAATCGACTTTGTTTCAAGAAACCCAAATTGAAACCCTAGACTAAATTGACAATGTGATTCTTGAACGATTTGCTAAGACTTAGACTTGAATCTTCAAGAAGATTTCCTCAATTAATGAATTGACCAGTCGAATCTATAAACTAGGACTCAAGATTACTAAGGGAAGCCTCAATTTGAAAAAACCCCAAATTCTAGACAAACCCTAATTTTCCAGAAACCCTAAATCACCGAGTAATCTCCAAATCGATCAAGCCTATTGTCTAATAGCTCTAATACCACTGTTATAACCAGTCAACAAACACAAACTAATCACCAGATCAATCAAACACACAGATTCGCACAAACCAACAACACAAGAACACAAGATTTACCGTGGTTCGATTATCCTGATTGGATAATCTACATCCACGTTGAGCTCCAGAAATGGAGAGCTCACGGCACTACTATTTATAACAAGATCCACACAGTACATAATCAAACCAAATACACCCTCTCTGATCTCACACAAGAATCAACCCGTAACTAAACCTAAGAGCACTCAACTGGAATCCTCAAGTCACAAGAGTAAAACCACCCTCAGATTGGCTAACACTTCCTAATCAATCTACCCAAGTTACAATGATTCTCAAAGATGCAGAAAACCTAATCAAGAACAGAGAAATACGAATACAAGAGAAAAACCTAAAAATGATCTGCGCAAATGACTATTAATCTCTCTTTTATACCATTGACCCTTTTGACAAGCCTCAGCCGTTGGATCTGGACAGTTTGGATGGTCAGGATGTTCAGCTAATTCTGTCCCAAAACTCTGCGTTTCCCTTAAGTAACAAAATGGTGTCGTTTTCAGTCTTCACTTCAACAACTCGTAATTGTGTGTTATATAAGCTGCAAAGAGTTTCGTATCCATACATGTGAAAATTCCTACGTACAGTGTCCCTATTTATACAGATAGACGATTGGTTGTTTTTTATTTTGTATTTTGAGAAGATGACGATGAATTGTTCACCTTTGATTTACATGCTAAAATTTTTAAGATAAATCCGAGAAATTAATTTATATAAAACTTCCAGATGTTTGCATTAGAAAATGTGACACATTTTCCCATACCAATGTGATGATAACAACAAAATGCATATGCATAAATAGCAATATGAACTCTGAAGCTGGTGATAAAGCAACATCAAAAACTTCGTACCGAGGAAGTCTCTGACTAAATCAACTAGTAATTGTTATGACCCCACCAAAAGTTGACTTCTAATTAATTGTAGAAGTCAACTGATGGTAACCATAGAAAATTGCTAGCTAATTGGTTCTGAAACTTGCTCAGCACTATACTTACCAACTTCAGATTGCTATAAATCAATCAATTTTCATGACTGCTAGTGCCATTCGTAAAGCTGTGTTCTGTGTGTAAGCTAAAGCTAGAGAGATGGCGCTTGAACATTTCAGCCACAAGCACACTCTAATCTTCAATGAAGACCTACAACAAAATGAAAATTCTTCTTGCTTCGGGTGCAAGGAACCAATTTCTGGCCAAAGCTACAGCTGCGAAGAGTGCAATTTCTTCCTCCACAAAGCCTGTGCAGAGCTTCCTCGCCAGATTAAACACACATTTCATCGCAAACACCCTCTTATTCTTCAAGAAAATCCTCCACATAATGATTTTCCATGCTTGTGTGATTCCTGCGGCAATATCTGTGGGAGTTTCAAGTATCATTGCTCTCTTTGTAACTTTAGTCTTGACAAGAAATGTGCTTTGCTTCCCTGCGTTCTTGAACCTGCAAAAAACAATCACCAATTTATCTGGTTGTTGGACTCCAGAATCCCATATAATTGTGATTCTTGTGGTGGGGATGGCTTCTATGATTCTTACGCTTCCTTATGTACCATATGCCAAGTCCTTGTCCACTATGATTGTGAGTCATTGTTACCAATATATCCAACAATTGCAATAAGAATACACGATCATCCACTCATCCACACATTTTTCATTCATGAAAATGAATCCGGAAAGCAATATTGTGGCATCTGCAATGATGAGATTCTTACGGATCATGGATGTTACTTTTGCTCGCAATGTAGTTTTATTTCCCATGCAGGCTGCGCATTTGAAATATTCATTTATGAATGTAAAACTGTGATGGCTCAGTGCAATGCAGAGGAATCTGTAGATCACTGTGTGATAGAAAAGAGCACCAGAGTTAAACCAATGGACTCGATCAATTATGGGATAATCGAGATGAAAATTGAAGATGACTCGACAGCTACGGAGATGGAGATCGATAAGTTTAGTAATGCACATTGCCATCTCAAACATATTAGCCACAAGCATCCACTGGTCTTCAATGAAGAAGAGCAACAGAATTATAGTTACATCAAGGAAAATTCATGCTTCGGATGCGAGGAACTAGTGTTGGGTCCAAGCTACAACTGCAGCCAATGCAATTTCTTTCTTCACAAGACTTGTGCAGAGCTACCGCTCAAGATTAAGCACCCATTCCACCGCAAACACCCTCTAGTTCTCATTCTAGACACCTCGAATGTTTGTTGGCGCCGCCCAGCCTGTTTTTTCTGCAACGAAAGTTGCCGAAGGTTTGCATATAGTTGCTCTAATTGTGCTTGTTACCTCAACATCAAGTGTGCTACGCTGTCTTGTGTCATTGAACCTGAAGCTCATGAGCATCAATTCATTCACTGGATGAGGGCCATTCCATTCACTTGCAATGCCTGCGGTGAAAAGGAATCAGAACAAACGCCTTATTTTTGTACCGCGTGCCAAGTCAAGGTCCACAAAAGCTGCATTTCGTTGCCACATAGTATCAAAATAATTCAGCATAATCATCCCCTTTGCCGCAACCATTTCTTTCATGAAAATGTGTCGGCAGGCTCTCTGAATTGTGGAATTTGTGAGAAGGAAGTGAATTCTGAATGTGGGAGTTATTATTGTCCTGACTATTGCAATTTCATTTCCCATGTGAGCTGCGCATTGGAGTTCGAAGATAAAATCAGAAATGAGAAGGCCTTGTGTCAATCTCAAGGTTTATTAACAGACAGATCTGTGTAGTGCAATGCAGGAAATGCAACTAGTCTTTGGTTAAAACTCCAAAAGAAAATGTATTATAATTTCTTGAAATAAAATAAAAGGAATTGGCTATCTATTCCGATCAATTGAACAATCACAAAATTGTGCACAACACAAAAAACTACAGAAATAAAAATAAACAAAATATCTTCACAAAATATATATATATCTCCACTGGACAAATGTATGAATACCCGTCCAATCATAAAGCACGTATACATTGATGTTCTTCCTTTCAAAACATGCCCCAAATCGCCTAGCCCGATACAACACCCAAAACAACCTCTCACACTCCCAAAACCAGGTAGATAACCAAGAAACCCTCAGGTTCCTGATAACAAAATCAGTCACACACAGGTAGAGATTCGAACTTAAAATCTTGAACTCTGATTTACACCAGATAAAAGGTGAGAGCAGTAATTTTGGTTGAAAGGGTGTTGTATCCGGCGAGACGCTTCAGTGCATGTTTTGTTGCTCGCATCTTGAGCAATGCAATACCTTGGACTGAATCAAATCGTTCTTGTTTATGATTTATAGAACAGGCCAAGAAAATTCAAGCCTGAGAGAGTATAATTGAAACAACATATTGGATCCTTAATTCAAGGGACTAAATCAAATAAACAAAAGGGATCGGCTGTGTTGCAGGGAAGAATCTTAGAAATATTAATTGAAAATCCCTTTTGTAATATAAATTACACATTATATATTATACTTTCAATGTGATGAAACCCTTTTAACGTAATAAACAAAATTATATTTTGTCAGAAGATTATGCAGTCACCATGTGCAGCCTCTCGAGGTCTTGGCATTACTAGCTGTCATATTAAAGTCAAAACTAATTGTTTAAATTTCTAATAAATATAGCAGGCAGTCCATTTTATATTTCCTGGTTTTACTCATTCTTTTCCACAGAAAAGGATTTAAAAGAAAAAAAAAAAACATTCATGGAGACAAATCAACATTAAAATGAACAAGAATATGAACGTCTCCATTAAAGGAAAATATATTTAGAAACAATTTTATCACACACTGATCATAGCAAGGTTTGTTCCTGATATTCAAAACAAAACCACTAGATTAAGACTTGAAATTATTTGCATCAAATTAAACTAAAGAAGAAAGATTAAACGAAGCCATCATTTTGGCAAGTTCCTGAGCCATTTGCAATTCATGTTGAAGCCTTTGCAATTCAGTCTGAGCATTAAGTACAGGATCTTCTCTATTTTCTGCCGTCACCTCGTCAGATAAGCGATTCTGGGAGGCCCCAGAAACACTTCCATCTACAATTGCACAAGAAGTATGCACATGAAAGTTACAAGCAAAACAATTATAAGACCAAAATTTTTGGTCCAACAATTTGTGACAAACATCACAATTATAACATTCATTATTTGGCTGAGGCAAACCATAGCTAAGGCAAAGGCCATGAAAATGCGCTTCACGTTTAATATTTTCAGGCAAGGAAGCGCATTGGAGATGGAGATCAAAGTCACACAAGGGGCAACAGAAGGAGAAGGAATTGCCGCGGCCGGCGCGGCCACAGGCGTTGCAGATGAATGAGCCAGCGGAGTAGGTGGTGGATGGGAGGAGGGTGAGGTGGTGCATGGGGTGTGATTGGTGTTGAATTGCTCTTTGTGCGTTCCCGCAATGTTGATGGAGGAAGAACATGCATTGAAAGCAAGCGTAGGCGGATCCTGAGATGATTGATTCACATCCTGAACAAGTGTATGTTTCAGGATTTTGATGAGGAAAATTATAAATTCTCAAATTATGTGGGTGGCTAAAGTGCTTGAACTCCATGTCTTTTTTTTTTTTTTTTTCTTTCTGTAAATTGATGATTTAGGAGACGTAAGTTAGAGGATTTATAAGCTTAAGTTCTTGAATTATTCAAAGGGTTCAAGTCAAGGTTCAATAATGTTAGAAGAGTTTTCATGTTTATGGTTCCTTATTGGAGGTGAAGGGAAATGAGATCAATATATAAACTCAAGTTGTTGATGCTTAAGTAATAGTTGGTGAAGATAATTGTTTAAGTTGATATTGAACCTGTCTTAAAATTTGACCTGATTGCTTATACAGGGGCGTTTGGTTGAGAGTTATGTGAGATTATCTCATATTTTATATTACTTGATTATCACGTTTGCTTTTCAAGTAATATAAGATTCCAACAATCTTCAAATACTAATAGTAGTTACTGTTGATAATATTGAAGGTAATCTAATTACCTTCATTTTCTTAGGTATTGTAAGATTACCAAAGTAATCTTAGTTTAATTACAATTTTATCCTTTATTAATAAAATTTTAGGATAATAATATCCTTATTTTTAAATTAATTTACATAAATACTACTTTTACTATTTCACCCAAATTAATTAATTTTTTGGACAAAATTACCCTTGAATTCAAAACAAATTCCAGCCCACCCAAGGCACCACCCCCACCTACCTGCCGTCATCAGCTGCCCCTGTCGGAACAATGCACGGAAGGTCGAAATGGCCATCATGGGCCGATAAGGCAATTTTCGGCCATAGATATGGCTAGATCTAATATGGTAGTTTCTGGCCAAATCCGTCGATCTGGCCTTCAACGGCCAGATCTAATCTAGTTGTTTTCGGCCAGATCGATGGCCATTAACGGCCATGTCTGTGCTGTTAACAACCATCGATCTAGCCGTTGAAAGCCAGATCGACGGATCTAGTCGTTTTTTAACTAGATTAGATCTAGCCGTTTTCCGGCCAGATCTATCACGATCTGGTTGGAAATGGCCATACGGCGCACGGAGGCCATTCCCTGCCTTCCGTGCGCCATTAGGTTGCCGGCGACCAACAGTGGTTGCCAGCGGCCGACAGTGACTGGGCTAGTGGGGGTGCAATGTTGATTTTCCAAACTTTTATTATGAGGTTGTTTTTGCTATGTTTTTAAATGTAGACGGGCTATAATAATCCAAATAATAATATAAATAACAAAATAATATAATAATAATAATAATATTTAATTAGAGGACAATTCAGTCATTTAAATAACATACCCACCAATTTATTCTTTCCAACCAAACATATTAATATAACGTACCCATCAACTAACCAAACACATTTTCCTAAAAATTCCTAGTAATCTTCAAGATAATCTAACTTTCCAGTAATCCAACATTCCCTGAACCAAACGCATCTATTAAGAAAAAGGAATATAAGTTTCTTTAAGATAAGAACTCACTATGTGTATTCAATTAGTATTAGGTTCTCATATCCTAATAGAATTTAAAAGATTTTGATATTACTCCTATAAATAGGTTCGTAGAGTTTATTGAAAACATATAGCCAAAGAAAAGTAGCCGAGGGAGTCAGAGCTAGAATACCATATTTGATAATTTTTCATATAAAAGTTATGGTGATTTTATAATTTCGAAGAGAATTTTGTTGTGTTTTAAAAACAGTAGAATTTCTCAAGGTAATATATATAATTCATGATTTGGCAAATAATATTACTAATATTATCAACTTTTAAATATGGTAATGTGAAGTGTTATATTAGCAAGATACAAAGTTGAGATATCCAACCACTCCTGCGTGGTGAGTGGTCATATCACTTAAAAGGTTTTAAGTTCGATTCTCCTCACTCTTTAATGGGGATGTCCACTAGAGGGTTTATCTGATCCTTAACTTCAGAGCCCTAGATGATTAGTTAAGTTGTACGCAAACTGGTCTTGACACCTCTTGTCGCCAAAAAAAGTTGAGATATCTAACTTTTACAAATATATCATCTATCGTATTGAGCACTAATTTTTTCTGTCACATAAGTATTTTATTATCTATAATTTATCCTAACAACATTCAATATTATTGATTATTTTCAAATTTAAAATCTACATTACAGAGTATCATAAATTCATTAACTTATTGTATCAATAACATCATACATAGTTGTAGCAAAAGACTCTTTCAAAAGTTTAATTAGATATAATCAAGAAGACTAGGTCCACGAAAATAAATTCCCACTTCTATTGATCAAAGCTTAATCATGGAAAAGCTTGTAGTAGATGCCTTATAGTCACGATGTTATAATACTTCAATTGGAAATTAAGAAGCATTGACTCGGAAGAATTAAAGTTGGGGGACGTTTGGCATCATCCACAATTGACTTTTGAGCTGAAGTGGTTAGCCCCTTAGCTAAGCATAATCTTATAAAGTACTATTATGCACCGGTATATATTATTACTTTAGCTTTTGAACATTGACTTTATGGAATATTGTCATCAATCACCACATTGCTCCAGTCTCTTTCTTTCTTTTTTTTATAAAATAAAACTATATATCGAAATTTGGAGTTAAAACACATCAACCACCGAGGTTTGATATGTCATAATAATAATCTTTCTTAAGGTTTCTGTAAAACAGAAATTCGTTTACCAATAGTAAATAGTTAGTGCGTAGTTAGAACTTAAACTTTTATAAGTCCCTAATATTTGCTGAATTTTCTTCGTACCTTTATTTTTAATATTTTTTACATTCAAAAGTTAATAGTATTTAGATTTGTGTTATTTTAGAAATCTCAAGGAGATTAATGTTGTTAATTTCAAAATTTATCTTAGTGATACTCTCATCCAAAAGGTGAAAAAGGGATACGCGTTACTTCTTATACTATAGTAAAAAGTTTAGAACCCACTTCACACAATTAAACCAGAATCTAAAGTTTATTTTAATGAAAAAAAAAAAAAAAAAAAAAGCGTGTATATATATGCTATTGAGTTGGTTGGTACCAAATTAACACTTTTAATCAAAGGTTCTTGTTTTTCATTTATTTTAATTTGATTCCATTCAACCATGTAATAGAGTCTGGTGGCTGCCTTTTTTGGCTGAAAGCATGCCCTTTTTAATGTTGGTTTTGGTCGTAAGAGAATTATTTCTACTTTGAACCTGACCCAAGTACATCCTTTTTGAAGAGATTGTGTTTGCCATTATTTTCTATCTCGTGTCCTCTTGAAAAA